GACCCCTGCTCCAGAAACACGCTCCCACCGCTCGCTCCTCCATCCACGTAACACCCCCGCGGGACAGAGGCACCGAATTAAAGGCGGCCCTCCTCCATTTCATAGCCCCTCGTTTACTACGCATCTAAGGCCATCTTTTAATCACATACACAAGAGAAACGCAACATCTAAACGGACAGGGCTGAAGAGAAGCAGATGCAAAAGGGAAGGTCTTCAATCTATTAGCTAAAATATCAATATGGTCTAAAACTTCAAATATCTTCTTTTAAAAGCAGAGTTACCAGGGCTTCTAAGCAGGAGTAACTCTCAGAGAAGATACACTCCAGGAGTGCCACGCTCTCACCAAGCAGCTTGCTCGTGCCGATAACCGCGAAAGGCAGTGACCCTGGCGGGAACGGGGACTGTCCCCGAGTGCCTGCGGGCTCAGGGCTCCCGGGCACGGCGGGGCACGGGCTGCACCACGGCCGACAACAACGTGCTGCCTCCCGTGACCAACAGCAGAAATCAGCCCAGCACGTAGATTTCCAGCCAGAAATTTATTTCTGAGTACAAGGCAAGTAAAAATTTTGACTTTGGACCCAGCAGTATGCGACGATCTAGCAGCCTTAATAATGAAGATAAATTTCTGAGCATGTCAAAACATTTATGGAGAAGAGTCAAAAGAATTAAAACACGCACAGCGATTCCTGAGACACTCAGACTGAAGTTCAAGCTAGTATCCCATCTGTAAGATTCAGTTTCATTTCGCTTTCAATTATAAGATTTTATTCTTGCTATTAATTTTCACTGCCATCTGAAATCTAAGGATTTGACACAGTAAGAGTCGTTTGTGGTGGGAAATAGAGGCTTCTGTACTGTTTGCCACGTACAGTCAAGAAGGGCATATTTTTTATATTAAACCAACAGAAATAGTAGCAAGTACTACGCAAAGATCACTAGAGATTGTAAGAATACTGCTCTATATAAATAATTTTAAGAGTTTGGTTTAGATTAACTTCTGCTCACCACTGCTGATTATTTTCTCTTGTGTTTAAGTTCCTTTTTGGCTGCTGACGTTGCCCTGCTCTTGCGGAGATGCTGGTTTCTGCCCAGCCCCGCCTCGCTGCTCACCCCAGCTCCCCACGCGTGGTTTGGGAAGGGCGCGGGGGACCGACGCCTCTGCTCTTGGGACCTTCCCGTCACCTGCAGGCGTCTGTTTCTTTGTGCTCCCTTCCCCGAAACACTGCCGATCTTCTGCCGCGCACGGGAGCTTCACGCCAGCAGCGGTCTGTCCGCCCAGCCCGAGGGCGCGGACCGCGCAGATCCCAAGGCGCCTGGCGAGAGCTGTCTAACGAGCTGTCCTCCCTCACCCTCATCCTCCTCTCCAGGCTCCCAAAGTCACTGCCAATGCAGAGCTAAATGAAACCAAAATCCTCAGAAGCTAAAAAATAAGAGAAGAAATCAGAAAGCGGAGCTCTTTTCAAGTGCAGATGTAAACAAAAGCTAACTCCACACTCAGATCTCCGCAGGAAACTTTGAGTTGAGATTCTTCTTTCCCTCCACTCCCCCAACCAGTCCCTCACTGCCAGTCCTGACCCGCAGTACCAGACCCGACGGGCCTCCCGCCGCTCTGCCTTCGGGACCCCTTCGCTCCACACCACCAGTCAAGAAACTTACCCCGAGCCACGCTCCTGTAGACAGAGATCTCCACAGACCCGGATCCACAACCCTCCCCACCCCGACACAGCCCCACGCGCTGCCAGACCAACACACCCTGCTATGCAGCTGGTCCACTCAAAAGCCAAGTCTGAAACTTTTGAAGTATTTTCAGCAAAACTGAGCTCTCCTGCAAACGTAAGACATTTTCATGCATTTTTCCCCATTGTATTGCAGATTCTGTTTCACTGCACAAAAATGAAAATGGCAAAATGCCCCTCATTCAGTCACCAGTGGCCAAGTAAAACCTAGGGGATTTGTTCAGCTTATGCCACGGGGTGTTCGTATTTAAAAACAATCCCAGGTTTCACCATACTTGCCACTTTGCTTTCTGCACCGCCACGCCGGCCCACTTTGCCGCTGTCTCCCCGGTCCGTCCCGCAGCGCGGTGGGACACGGTGTGAGCATCCCCCCGCTCCCCTGCCCAGCGCCCGACGCCAGCGGGAGGGGTCTGCCAACCCGCAACCAACGCCCCGCGGCACGCACCGCTCCCCGCTCCCACCACGAACCACGAACGGAGCACGTGAGCTCGTTGTGGTGACCCTGGCAGGCAGCAGGACGGGCCCAACGTCATTCCCGGGGCAGTGCCCAGGACGCCACGGCACAACTCCAGGCCACCGAGCGCGGATGACAGGCGTGGGACACGGAGGGGAGGCCAGGCGGAGCGGCAGCCCAACAGCAGAGACTGTCTCTGACGGGGACTTTAACAAAGTTATCAGGTTTGTGTTTAAGGCACTAAAGATGTGATACTGACAACAGCACAAACAAATTGCAAGTCTGTTACACAAACACTCCTGAAAATTTTATATTTACATGGCAACCGGCTTATTATATTTACATGAACATCTGCTGCAGGTTCACTAAAATCTTTAAAACAGATGGACACAAAGACAGAGCTAGCAATTAACAAAGCTATATGTTGATTAAATCGGCATGTGGTTAATTTTAATGATTACTGATCTTTATTGGGGTCCCTAAGACTGCTCAGAATCAAATCCACTTTATCTGACGTGTTGATTAGCCGCAGAGCCTCACCAGCGCTGCTCGGCCACGCGCCCCAGCGCTGCAGCAGCCATCGGCCGGGGCACACTCTGCACTCCCACCCGGGTGAGCGTCCGATCCTGCTCCAGTGAAATTAACTGGAGCGAGGAATTGCGGGTTCGTAGCCAGGAAGGGCTGTTGTGAGTGTCCATTGTGGCTTGGACATAAAGCTTTCCAGGATTAATTCGTTTCCAAGTGGAGCACCCCTTCAGAAGACCACAAACCATTCTCCACTAAGACATTTTGGCAGTGAGCAGTCCATCACCAGCTCTGGCAGGATGCTCCAGTTATCAGATTACCCTCACCATACATAAAGTGTGCACTTACCTCAGCTTCCAGCTTTAGATCTCCTTATTAGATCTCCAACACTAAACTGAAAACCTTCCTGTTCCCGAACTTCTGCTCCCTGTGCTCACACTCATGGGATGAGGTCAAATCACGCCTTGCCCATCTCATTCTCGAACTCAGCAGGCTGACTCCTTCCAGGCTTTGGTGCCCAGCTTCTTCTCCTGCCCCTTGCTCCTCTGCTACCAGAGTACTTGCATGACCTCTTTTTGTGGTCTCTCTGCCCGTGGTCCCTCTCCTGCCATGGTCCCTCTCCCCCCAGTGGCCCCTCAGCCCCCAGGGTCCCTCTCCCCACACACACC